ATGTGGAAAATATTGTGCTTGGATTTGAACTTGAAATTGGTAGGGACCTGAAGGATTGTAAGCCAGAAATGGCTGGATTATATACGTGCTTTATGTTTTGACTATCATCGAGAAAAAGTGAATTCTGTATCAAACACAGCTTGAGAGCCTTAGCTAGAGTGCTAGACAGCATGCAGAGATCTGCATCATTTTAGAAATGATTTAAAATATGACCAGGGATGGTGCGCTGCTGAAAAAGAGTGAGGTGCAATGATTAGCATTGCAGATGTGAGGCACTGGACACTACACCAGCTCCGTGAAATCTCCCGGGTGAGAAGGAGAGTTTGGAAAGAAAGGAAGAGGAAAAGCAAGCGTTAAACTTTGCAAGGAATGTAGAGAGGTGGCTGACCAATAAATGACAATGACAAGGGACATCTGGGGGCCTAAGATAATTCATATGATTCATTCTATATCTATATTCTTTTGACTTTTTTAAAAATAAATTTTTATTATGGAAATACTTCAAACATTAACATAATTGAAAAGAAAAAAGAACCCTCACGTACCTATCACCCAGGTCTGGCAACTATCAACCCATGGCAATCTTATTTCCCCTCTAACTCTCCTACTCCCCCACTCCCACTGGGCTATTTTGAAGGAGGAAATCTCTCATACATCATATCATTTGAAGACAATGGTCTTTTTTCTCAACCCAAACCTGTGTTGGGATCACAGGATATGATGAGTCTTGTACTGTGCCTAATTAGAAAAACACTGAAAATGGACAAATATAGAAGCAAAGTCTACTCTAATCAACAGAAATTAAATAGAAGACAATATGAAAATGATTACCAGTTATTTAAAGACGGGGTAAAATAGAATAGCTTGTAAATAACACTAATTTGGTAAACAAGGTTACTAGCAAAATCTTACGACATGAATTAAACTAATGAAGTTAAATATATGAGCAGGAAACACAAAGAAATTTAATTTTAAAATGTGTAAAGCATCAAAGAAACAAGCTATGAAATAACCAAGAAGAGAAAGAAAAACCTGAAAGCAGAAAGAGACCTGGCCTGAGAGTGGGAAGGGGGAAGCAAGTTAAGAATAAGTTTGAGTATAGCCTAGCCCATTTAAAAGAGATCCCAATTAATTTCTCCATTATGTAATTACTTACTGAGCACCTGCCATGTGCAGGGCAGTGTTCACTGCTCTGGAATGTCACGTGCCTCTGGTAAGCCATCTTTGCTGCTTAGAGAGGAGGCAACAAGTGACCTGAGGGCAAGCAGCTGCATCTTACCTGTTTCTGCCTGAACCTCATCCAGATTCTTAATAAACACCTGGCTTCTTGAGACATGGAGGCAACGGGAAGGGGTTCAAAGAAGTGGAACAGAAAATAATTAAGAGGAAGAGCTTGATTTTAACAGAAAGATCAAAGGAACCAAATATGGGGGACTTGGCTAAGCCAGGGCTCAAGAAAAAATGAGCTGTTTGAGGCATGTAAAGAGTGGAGCAAAATAGGAACTACCGAGCTGGTGTGTGGAGCATCACGGAGAGCCCTAGGATGGAGAGCAACAAAGGGGAAAGGCAGGCAGAGGGAGGGCAAGGTGCACGCGGCACCGCTCGGCCCAACAGCCCCACTCCATACGTCCTGATGTTAGTTAAACAGGCTTCTGTTCAATGGCTACCTTGTGTTAGAACAACAGCTTCCAGAGAGTACATATTATTTTTAACCTTTCGACTTTGGAAAAGAAAGTGTGCTAAATCACTCCCGCTCTGGCCAGCAGGATGGGGGGCCCAGGGAATGTATTTTCCCTCGAATGTAATTCGTAGGTATGTTCTAATGCTCCTTACTCCCATAGTTCTTCTCCAGTCAGCGAAAGTGTTGTGCCAGCAAAAGCAGAGAGGAGAGAAGAGAGAGGGGAGAGAGGAAGTAGGGGCAGTGGTGGGGGAGAGATTGACATCTGTACTGGTTCTATGGTTTCTGTTTTAAAATTTCACTTAAGGTCTTACTGGCTTGATTTCAGCAACTGTTTTTAGTTCCCAATCCATTTCTTTCAGACACTGAGTGTTTATATTTTGGAAGTAGTTAACTTTCTCTCTTTCTCTCTCTCTGTCTCTCTTTTTACCATTTAAAAATATCTTATTTAAATTCAGTTTGCCAACATATAGCCTAACACTCAATGCTCATTCCATCACATGCCCTCCTTAATGCCCACCACCCAGTCACCCCATCCCCTTCTGCGACCCTGTTTGTTTCCCAGTCAGGAGTCTCTCACAGTTTGTCTTCCTCTCTAATTTTTCCCCACTCAGTTTCCTCCCTTCCCCTCCCATAGTTCACTATGTCTTATAGTCCACATATGAGTGAAACCATATGATAATTGTCTCTTTATTTTAAAATATATCATACATACAAAGCAGGACATAAACACATATATGCACAGTCTAAAGAATAATGATAAAATGAACAGCAGCATTCCCCATCTCTCCATTTGAAGTCACATCATTTTGGCACCCTTGAAGCCCTCTGAGTATCCTACCTTGATCATTTTTCTCTCTGCCTGTCTCTCTCCCACTTCATGACACTATCTTAGAATTTACCTTAATCCCTTGCCTTTCCTTATGGTTTAACTGTAAGGTATTGAGAGTTTGGCTAAGTTACTCTGTGGTATTGCTGCCTTTCATCCATCTCGTTGGCCAAGTGGCCTGTGGGGTCTTCAACTGATACTAGCCACTTTGGGCAATCACATGCCCTAGACAGCAGCCCACAGAGTCATGAGCCAGTGCATGCTCCTGATATGATGGGAGTCTCCCCTGCTTCCCAAGGTCTTTTCATGGTGTGATCCCTTAGATGAGATCCCATGGAACTTACCAAAACTCTGCTCTTTTTAGTTTGAATGAGGTTTATTATTGTCATTAAGTCTACAGTTGCATACTCGTGGTGGTCCTCTCTCCCACCCCCAGGACAGCACTAGTAAGGGCCAAAGAGACTTGCTTCTTTATACAGACAAGACAATTAAAAATAATTGAGTTCATGACACTTGTTCCAACTTGAGGTTGGAAATGGGGCTGAGAAGAATGGATGGATGAACCATACGTGACACATTACCATGATGAAGTGGAGATGTTTATTACATGTTCCCTTTTCCTTTTGTCCCCTTTCTTTTCTTTTCTTTTTTTAAAAAGATTTATTTTTTTATATTATTTATTTATTTATTTATTTATTTATTTATTTATTTATTTATTTAGTGGAGGGCAGAGAGAGTCATAAGCAGGCTCCACACTGAGCACAGAGTCTGACATAGGGCTCAATCTCATGACCCTGAGATCATGACCTGAGCAGAAACCAAGAATCAGTTGCTTAACTGTGCACCACCTAGGTGTCCCTTGGCCCCTTTTTTGAGGCCAGAATCACTTGTGCCTGGTCCTCCCTGGTTAGCCTGAACTCATGGAACATTTGGCCACTGTCCAAAAGTTCTGACAATGTGCTCTATCTCAATCCCTTCAGATTCAAATTCCTGGAACTAGACCAGGCTTGGATTTGTCCTATTTCAGGCCACGTCTGCTGTGAGGCCTCACTCTCTCCCTTCTCAGCACCACCCCTGCAAGGCTTAACTGTGTTAACGATTTGGCTAGGCAAGCCAGGGGTTTCATCCCACATGGCCCTCCCTAGGTTCTTTAGCAATTATGGGGCCATGGAGTTTACAAATATTAAATAAGTGAAAGGATCAAAACTTGTCTTTCTAAGATAAGATGCAGGCAGTTTTAAACTTTCTGATTTTTTTTTTTTTCTGGGAACAGCTTAAAGTGGCATGAAGTTTTATAGAGAGAAATCTGGAAATTTCTACTCATCATTTTTTAAAATTCAGGTAGAATTTTTTATAACATTATATAAGTTTCAGGTATGCAACATTATAATTAGACATCTGTATACACTGCATAGTGATCATCGCCAAGTCTAGTTACCATCCACCACCATACAATTAACCCCATTTACCTACCTACTCAGCAGTTTTATATAAGCTCTTTATAAATATAAGGCTAGGTAAAACTCTAGTATTTCTCAAATCCTGTGAAACCGGTATAGCTCAGGGGAGACACAGTGTATTAGAAGCTATGATATCTGAAATTTTTGCTATAATATCTAAAATTCCCTCTTTCTTCTCTCTCTCCCTTTCTTTCTCTTTCTCTTTTTTAATTCTGAGAAGTCCAGGATGTTATGGGCAGAACATGTAGCTTTTAGCAAAAGCTGGCTCTTAAGCTTTGAATTGGCTTGGGCTCGGTCTTCTCCATTTTTATATCTTTTCTTTCCATTTGTTCAACAACAAACATTTATTGAACATCCAATAAGTGTCAGGTAGAGTGCCAAGCACTGGAGATTCTAAAGAGAAACACAATTATGGCACTGGTGACTCTCTCCAGAGGAATTTAAAATCTCGTAGAGGGAAGGAGATATGCAAAGAAAGAAAGAAAAGTAATTGTGTTCTAGTTGTGTTATGGGGGCGTTTCAGGAGCCAATGGGAACAGCATGGAGAAAGCTATTAATTCAGAATGAGAGAGAGAAACAGGACTTGGGGAGGTGGATGGTTTGGTTTGCAAGAGGACTCAGGGAAGCAGCGAAAATCTTGAGCTGACTTATGAAGTATAGGCTCAGAGCACATCACAGCCCGAAAGAACTTTGATCAACCCTATTTCTCAAGTTCAAGAAGGTGACCTTGTCCAAAGTTGCATGGCTAGTTGGTAGCTGGGACAGGACTTATTAATGCAAACCATTTGCTCTTTATTTCCTTTTTTTAAAAAAAGATTTTTAAAATGTATTTATTCATGAGAGAGGAGAGAGAGAGACACTCACACACACAGGCAGAGGGAGAAGCAGGCTCCATGCAGGGAGCCCAATATGGGACTCGATCCCCAGGATCAGGCCCTGGGCTGAAGGCAGCGCTAACTGCCCAGCCACCCGGGCTGCCCCTGCTCTTTATTTCCTAATACATGAGTCTGGTTTCCCTTTTCGTAGTAGGCAGTGAAGTGGCCCGCCTCCTGCAGGACCACATGTGGGCCCAGAGATGAAGGCAGAACTTCCTCTTCCCTGGCTTGTACAGGTAAGTGAGATCACTTGATATTTTATTTCCTGGGAGCTTGGCTTATGGTGACTGGGTGATGGTTTTAAAGATTTAATTTGGGTGGGGGGGGGGTTCCTATGGTTTCTATTTCTCTTCTTCAGTTTCACCTAGAAATTGGAAGGCAGGATGTGTTTGGTGAGTACTTGGCTTCATCAGCTCTAGCTGGAGGCCGTGGTGTATTGTTCCACTTGTCCCACATCCAGACCCCTGTGTTCCTTTGGTAGCTGCCCTCCTCTGTTCTCAGAACACAGGATTCTGGTGGGAAGACCTACCTCCTGACTTCCACACTCCATGAAACCATTCACTAGTGTGACTCTGGCCTCAAGCCAGCTGCCTCCTCTCTCTTCTCCAGGTCCCTTCAGGTCAGCCTGGGAGCCAGGACGCTCCTCGGTCCCCAAGGATGTAAGGGGGGGGTTCCTCTGGAGATGAACCCTGAGCCATTCTGGGGGCCACATGCAGTGGGGGTGTAGTGAGAAGAGATGGCAATGAGAGAGAAGACAGGGGTGAAGGGGATTTTCTAAAATTTTGGAGAGCTGAATTGCCTTTGTGGGGGAGGAGCTGATGCACCTGAAAACTATTTGCGAGGCTTTACTGCTCGAGGAAAATTAGTACTGCAATGCCTGCAATCTCTTCAAGAGATTCTGATGTTCTCTTAATGCTTCTCTTTCAGCAGAATAAATGTAGACTTGGTCCCTGTTACCCATGCGATTAGGCACTGGTTTTGTAAAATGATATAGGTAGGCTAATTCCTATTGACCCTTCAGAGAAAGAAATCATATATTGTTATTCAAGAAGCACATGTCATTTTCACTCTTTTTAGAAGCTCAAATCAAATAGATTACCTTCCTGAGTTATGAACAACTTGAAATGTGCACGGATCTGCAAGGTTAAAGAGCAAGAGGATAAGGACTTGCATTTGAAAGAGCAAGGTCTTCTGTCATTTGGTGCCACAAAGATTCTCTTAAATGAATACAGAGAAGCCAGCTGGTTCTGAAACTGAAAAATCTCTCTTTCTCTCTCTCAAAAAAAGGGTAACATAGGTGTTTCATAGAAAACAGCATTTTCCATTTATCTAGCAGTCTTCTTGAAGGTGAAAATACTTCCCCAAACCCTACCATTCCACCCCTGCCCAGGTCACCATCACCTCTACTCTGGACTACGCAAAGAGCTGCTTACTGACCATCCCTGCTTTCACCTTTGTCCCTATCGGATTCACTCTTCACTACGTAGCCAAAGTACTCTTTTAAAGATCATTTTTTTAAAGCTTACAATTCTCCAATAGCCTCCCAGTGTAGTTAGGATACAATTCAAACTTCTTATCTGGGCCTTAGAGGCTCTTGAGATTTCTCCACAGGGACAATATCTGCAGCACAGCATGAGCAGGACAAGTCCCGTGTGAGTCTGTCCTAAGCAGGGCAAGCTGTTAGCATCCCTGATCCCTGCCCATTGAAAGTCAGTAGTACTCTGTCCTCAACTCCAACATTTTGTATCCAAATCACCACTCACAACTCTTCAAATACCCTCCAGTTAGGGAATGGGTGTGGTCCCATCTGAAGCTGAAAACCTCTATTAGCCTACTTGATCTGGCCCCTGCTTACCTTCAACCTCAGGATCTTTGCACACACTGTTCTCTCTGGCTGGACTGCTCCAGTCTCAGTCTATCCATTTTCCACATTCAAGTCTTAGCTTCAGTGTTACCTCCTCTGAAAGGCCTTCCCTGACCACCCTATCTAAGACAGCAATACACACACACACACACACACACACACACACACTCACAATGCACTATGCACAGACCACTATATACAATTTTCTTCTTTATTTTTTTCTTGTTTATTGTCTCTCCTTCCCGCTAGAATTAAGTTCTATAAGAGTAGTCTGTTTTGTTTGCTGCTATATCCCAGCGCCCAGGAATAAATTTTTATAAATATCTATTGACTGAATAAAATAGATGCCATGAAGTTATATGTCATTTAATCACATACATAATAAATGTTAGTAAGAAGCAGAAAGGCATTATCAAACTCATTTTTCATATAAAGCACTGAGATACTAAAAATAACAAATCCCACATTGAATATGAATGATGGAGGGAGGAACAAAACTAGAAATGTCATTACCTCCTTATTAAGTTACAGTGGATTATTTGGTATAAGGCAATCCATTGTATAGGTCACACAAAAAGACACATAACATAAAAGATATAATTAACGTAATTCCCTTTCCCTCACCACTTTAAGGCTAAATGCCCATGTGATGACCACTATCTATATACCAGTTGCATTTCATTTTACTTTACAGGTTGTTATACCTTCTCAAATCTAGGTTCAAAAACTTAGATTCACCTTCAGAGGAGGGGAAGGAAAAGGAGATACATTATACTGTTCCCTATGGAACAAAGTTAAATACTCATCCTCATCTAAGTCTTATAGCTAACAAAATTGATCCATGGATGAAGTATAGTGTAGGGATGGCAAATACACAACACCCATGTTGCCCCCTCTACTCCTGCACCCCCGACGTGTACAGCTCACCAATTCCAGAACTCCCTGCTGCTGACCACCCATTCCATGTGGGACTCCACAACTCAGTGCTCTAGGCAGCTGCTACCAGTGAATCAGACTTGACATACAGGTTAAACATCTATTGCCAGCCTTGAAATAGCAGAAAGAGCTGATCTTTCCAGATAAATCTGAGTTTAGATACGATACCTGTTCTTTGTCACTTATGAGACCTTGGCTTTTTACCCTCTTTCTGTTTGTTTCATGAGCCCAAACTTGTAGGGTTGTTGAGGAAATTACAACTAACAGATGTAGGGTGTTTAGCACAGGGCTTGTTACAGTTAGAATTCAATAAATAGTAATATTTAACTGTGGTTAGGAGAAGGCTCTGTTTCACTCCCAAGAATGGAGCAGGTATAGTTTTGGAAGGTGGGAGGGCTGCAGATCGTTAGAAACACTAGAGTGAGATTTAGTATTGGGCTAGCAGAGTGTTCCCAAAGTGGTTCCCAGACCACATGTGGACTTGTTACAAATTGCAGGTATATAGGCCCCAGCCTGGACTGACAAATCAGAAGCTCTAGGGATGGGTCCCAGCATTCTGGGTGCTAACAAACTGTCCGGGTAATTCTGATGCGCACTGTCTCTAGGAACTACTACAACAGAGACAAGGACAGGGAAGGAAAATAGAAGTGATGAAGTCAGTGGGGGAAGAATGTCTGCTCACCTGGTGGTTACTTAGAGAGGGAACAAGGAGTGCTGCCCCTCAAAGAAACTTGTGGTCCTAGCCGCACTCCCAATCCCAGTGGCAATGTCCTACAGGTAGGATAGGAACTTGCCATAATACACAGGACAAAGCAGAGGCTCGCTAAGAGAAAATGGGCTTACAACGTTGTATTACAATGTTAGGTAAAGGGATAACTCCCCAAATGCAGCCCTAGTGCAGGTAGAAAATAGACTGAACTTGAAACACTCTTTTCTTGAGCAGAGATAGGTGGCCATTGTGTCTGGTTATTTCAGATGCAGCTTCGACTGAGGGCAAGAAGCTGGTCTAGCTAGACACTTCCTCAAGCTTCCCCAGCTTGGCAATTTCATGAACAAATTGCATCTGACAGCTCAGGGTGAATGGGAGGTGGGGTGAGAGGAGGTGTGTCAAGAGATGCAACTCCACCAGGATTTCTCTACTCCACCTGTTCAATCTTGACCACTTGCTTTTCCCCAAGCCACCTCTTTTTGCCAGACACAGAAGTACTTCCCATGCAGTCAAAAATTAAAAATATTTTTAAAGAACATAATTAATCTGAAGTCTCATGTGACCCACCAGATTTTAAACCTATTTTCACAGTTAACCCCTGCAGCAAGATTTCTGATTGCCTTACCACCTATTTTTCTTTGGTTCCACCTAATTAGAGACTTAAATTTTCATTAAAAATTTAATTTACACATCCTTAGACACATACTCACTTGCATAATGTTCTAAAGGGTGTAGATGAGATCTAAGGCCAGTATCTTATTAAAGTATAAGGATCTTGTTCGAGACTATCAGACATTTGGATCCAACATAATTACTGAGCACCTCCACTCCACCTTTCCTGCCTTTCCCACAATCACGTGCATACATATCACTGTTATGTCCATAATGCAGAATGTATGACGGAAGGAACTATCCCAGGGTCCCACAGTTACCTTAAGTGGCCAACTGTGGATCTAAACACCAGTGTCCTGACAGAGGTGGTGGCTAATCTACAACAAGATGATCAGCCACAGGGGTGACCTTTCCTTAATTTAGTTAAAATGACAGTTCTCAATTCCCAGCTGATATATGTGCTGTGATTTGTACTTTCAATGGAATGTTTCTGCTGCTGAAATGTATCACCACCTTTCCGGACTAGTGGAGAGAATGTTTTCATTTTAAAAGTGTGTTATACACAGCCCTCTTACAAGTAAGGCAAACCTGTTCTTGGCTTGAAGTGAACAATGAAAACTCTAAAATTAACACTAACCATGTTCTTAATGACGGCTGGGTGAAGGTGTTAGATTTTACCAAAAAATAGCAATTGGTTGTTAGTGAAACACTGGAAAAGGGTGCCTCATAATAACAAAAAAATTTCCATCAAAAATGCTTTGAAACTTACTTTTGGATAGATCACCTTCACTGAGATTCTAAGATGGCTGGCTATTGTTCTGAAAACATATGGAATACTTTTATACCAAAGGAAAACAACCAACTGTTTTCATGTCTCTGAATACAAAATACGTGGAAGTGGGTTTGCTTTAGGAAGACCCTCCAATGAACCTGGTTAATAACTAGGAGTGGGTTTCCCAGGAAGAGGGCATCCTTTTTTGAAGGAGGGTGAGAAGAGGGAGTGAACTAACTATGGTGCTAAAGTTGTGCTGTGGAGCTGGTTTCCATTCTGAAAACACATTTCCTCACCCAAGGAACAATATAGTTTCCCTAAGTCATAGAAAAAGAAAGAAAGA